CAAGTTAGGAACCGAGTTAGGAACCGAGTTAGGAAATCAAGCACTATGAAACTTTAATCATGAGTCTTCGAAGGTGGATAATATGATAAGAAGTTATCAGGTTTTTTGGCCTTGTTGTCTTAAACAGGGTACTGTATACATTTTAGCCAAGATTGTCCTAAGGTGACTAGCTACTTTATCAAGAAATCATTACAAAATGTTCTTAGGAAGATATTTTATAGAGAATTTAACGCTGATTTCAAAAAAGAAAAGAAAAATAGGGTGTCCTGAGCTTGTTTTTGAGATAATGAATTTTGAATACGGCCATCTTGGCAGGTTTTGGAAAGAAAAATGGCGCGGAAATCAAGCTTTTAACAAATTAAAAACTCAGAACATCTTCTTTAAACACTATTTTCGAAGAACTAACTAAAAATATTTGAAAGTTTTAAAATAAGCTCAAATTCCAGCATCTCGTTAGATCGATGAACCAAAATCGTAATCAAATGAGGACATTAAAAAACACATAAAACGCTTTTTGATAAGTAAAAACCATTAGGTTTTTTATATTTCTCGACGGTCCATTCTTTTTCCGACTTGTTTTGAATAGGGTATGAATTTTAGGGTATGAAAACCCGACAACACTATGTTTGAGCCAGCAAACATTTTTGTCAGCGAACGAGTGACAGTCAACACGTCTCTTATGTCTTACGTTGCGTAACACTGCTGATGCAGACGTTTTACTTGCGATTTCTTTTTTTTGGCATTAATATATATATATTTAATATTCTGTAATAAAATAACATTCGATTCCTAACTCGATTCCTAACTCGCTTACTAACTCTTTTCCTAACTCGCTTCCTAACTGGAAAGATAGGCATCCTCTGCAACACTTTGCACTATTTAGTAGTAAATAGTGCTAATTAAACAAAAGAAAACAATAGGATTAGCATAATTTAGCAGTATTTAGTGGTATTTATGTTACAATCTTATAGTGTTTGTACTCTACCAGAATAGAACATTTGTAATTTAGTAAAATAGTGATTTTGTAAATTTACCGATTAGGAATGAATTAGTCTAGAGTGCTCACACTAAATCCGTGAAACAAATACTAATTTTTAGCACTAAATAGTGATAATTAAACAATAGAAAACAAAGGATTCTGTATGAAATAGTACTAATTAGTACTATCAAGAGTTCATATTCTCTTGGTACTATTTAATGTTCACGGTTTTAGTGCGTGCACTCTATCACTGACGTCATATTCAAATTTATCAGTAAGAAAAAATAATTTTGGACGACATGATGTAACCAGCATGCAGATGAAGATGCAATTTCAAACTTAAAACGAAAATGAATGAATAAAAAATAAGATCAGTATTTGTTTTTGAAAGTTTCTGCTCGTGTAACATTGTAAATAGGTTGACCTAATAACAATACTAAAAGAAAAATACTAATTTCACTTCAGACTTGGAAAAGTAACCGCTGCCTGGCGACAGTGATAATTTATTCCTAATCGGTTAATTTACTAAATCACTAATAGTTACCCAATTACAAATGTTCTATTCTTGTAATGACAACCTTCTTGCAAGTAGGTGTATGTATTCATGATTATTTGTAACTATGATCAAGTGACGCGATTGAGCATATCATCGAATACATGAACCCGTACACATCGCGAAACAACTGAGGAGATACTTTTTTCTAAGGCCCGTACCCATATCCGGAAATTTTCGAAAACGGTCTTCAGAGTGGAAATTTTCGAATACGCTCCGAATACGTATACGTGTGGACGGTCGTATCCGCAAATTTTCGAATACGCTGACGTAAACACGATTTTGCGCATGCTCAATAAGAAATACTATCCGCCAAAGGGACTAGGCACTAGCGTGAATCAGGGCGGATCAAGAAATTTCCGGATACATGTGGACAGTGAATACGATTTGAAAACGATTTGAATACGCTGCGTGTGGACGCGAACATTTTCGTATCCGCAAAAAATAATTTGCGGATACAAAAATTTCCGGGTACGTGTGGACGGGGCCTTATTAACTTACAACCGTGTGAGTATAAACACGAATGTTACCATACAAAAGAACAAACCTACTAGCATAAAAGATAAACAAAAACAAAAAAAACAACAAAAAAAAATCGGTGTATTAATGAAGACCTATGATATTAATGTCTTCCTAGCTACTCTCTGAAGTAGCTACTCGATCTCTGAAGTACCAAGTCCCTCCCAATAAAACTTTTTCTCTCCTTCTTCTTCAGTCCACTATTTCTACTTGCAATATAGACCTTCTCAAAATCTGTTTATGTAATGACTCTCAGTGAGAAATGACAGAAAAAACAATTCATGTAAAATGACTATTTCTCTGTGTTCATATAGTTATCAACTGGCAGCATGGCAACCCCACAGATACGGAGTTTACCGACATCCCTTACGATGGAAAATAAAGCACACAACATACGTAAAATCGACGTTGGCAGCAAGACAATTTGGTCTTCTCCTGGTAAAGAAAAGATTCTTATGCTTGTTGGAGCTACTGGCGCAGGGAAGAGCACTTTGATTAATGGACTGGTTAACTACATCATGGGGGTACGTTACGAAGATGATCATCGATACAAACTAATTGGCGATGAAGGCTCAGGTTCACAGGCTCACATCCAAACAAAGTGGATCACAGCCTATACTATCCACAAGCAAGACAACCAGGGGAAGTTACCATTCACGTTGACCATTATCGACACTCCTGGCTTTGGTGACACAGAGGGTCTGCAAAGAGATAGGAAGATAACCAATCAGATCAGAGAGTTCTTCTCCCTCAAGGGACCCCAAGGTATTGATCATCTTGATGGTATTGGTTTTGTTGTCAAAGCTCCTGAGGCCAGACTAACTCCAACCCAGAGATACATATTTGACTCCATACTCGGCATGTTTGGAAAAGATATTGGTCAGAATATCTTTATAATGGTGACATTTGCATATGGTAACAAAGCCCCAGTGCTTGCTGCCATCAAGGAGGCAAAGTTTGAGTTTCAAAAAAGCTTCAAGTTTAACAACTCTGCGCTCTTTAGTGAAGTTGAGAAAGAGGATAAGGAGGAAGAGGACGAGGATGAGGATGAAGAAGCCAGCAATAACATGACCTTTAATTCAATGTACTGGAAAATGGGAGAAAAAAGCTACAAGGATTTCTTCAGAACATTTGGCAAGGCACAGAGTGTAAGCCTGCAACTGATAAGGGAGCTTCTTGAGGAAAGGGAACATCTAGAACACGTCATTCAACGTCTTCAGCAGAACATCCGAGCTGGGTTGGACAAAGCTGACGAGTTACGCCAGGCGGAGAGAGTCATAAAAGTACACGAGAAGGACATGCTGATAAACAAAGATTTCAGATACAAAGCTGACGTGACTAAACAACGTAAAGTTGATCTGCCAAGAGGTGAATATGTCACTAACTGTCTCAGATGTCAGATGACATGCCACTATCCTTGTGGTATTCCTAGAGATGAAGATAAAGCTGGCTGCGCTGCAATGGGAAGCAACGGTCAGTGCAATATTTGTCCAGAGAAATGCTATTGGAATAACCACGTCAACAACGCTTATAGATTCGAGCTCTACCAGGAAACAGAAACAATAACCTCAGAAGAGCTCAAAAACCGATATTACGAAGCAGCAAGCAAGAAGACAGCAACAGAAAAGGTCATTGCAGGCTTGAAAGAAGACCTCCAAAATCTGTACCTCACCGTATTTGGTATGCTCAG